ACTCCGAGATTAACTACGACACCCCGCACGAACTTCTTCAAGCCCTACAACCTGACAACCCATGCGACGACACAGCGGAACGCCAACATGCAGAATACGAACAAGAACTACATGCACTGGAAGTGGAGTTACGACACATCACGAACCATTGCGCCAGACTCCGCAAGCAGGAGCACCAGGTCAGGACGGACGCGAGGGTCGAGGAGCTGCACGAGGCGTGGAAGCAACGAGACCTTGCACGAGTAGGCCGATTATCCAGACTGATCGCAGGGGGGCGATACGGCCCAAGAAAACGTGACTACTGGACCAGCGTGACCGCGAACCCGAGCAAGCAGGAGTGGCTCGACTTCTGGAAGCTACCCGGCGGCATGGGAGGCATGGAGGGCACGGAACAGGACATCCACACGCTCGACCAGATCCCTAGCCCCACCGAGCAGCAGGACTACTACGAGAACGACTTAGAGGAGAAGGTCGACGAGGATTTCGAGTACACCACCAAGAGCATCAAGGAAGCGAAGCTACGCCGAGCGGCACCCCCTACTTCGGCACCGTCGGAACTGTGGCGACTCATTCTTTGCCCACCCAACCCAGAACGGCAAGAACGCCAAGGACTCGGGGCACCACGTGCAGATCGACAACCCGACTTGTTCACGGAACTATTTCGAGCATCACTGGCGGCGATCAGAATTGGCAACGCAACTCCAGTCCGATGGCACCAGAGCGCAGCCACCGCCGTTAAGCAGAACCAAAAGCTTGGCCCCGCGGGCAAGAGAATTTACCACATCATGGGCCCCATCGGCAAGGCGTACTACTCGGGCTGCCTGAAGAGAACTTAGCCTGACGAAGAACCCAACCATATGCAGTTGTCAGTACCGCAGCTGCGGGTTTCATCTTCAATGGAACTCCCCATAGGACTACGGAACGTGCGAGGGGTGTGCCGAGATGGGTGCCACTGGGGCATTCGGCGAAGCTCCCTATGGGGACATGAAACACGCGCGGGGCGTGCCGACATGGGTGGCGGAAGCGCATGTGCGGGCCGCCACTGGGGCCTCCAGTGGAGCTCCCTATGGGTCCCCGAAGCATGATGCTGCTGCGGGGGGGGGGCCGGGATGGGTGGCGGAGACGCATGTAAGCGCCGCTACTGGGGCCTTCGGTGGAGCTCCCTATGGGGCCACGAAGCGCGTGAGGGGTGTACTGTGATGTGTGGCGGGGACGCATGTGAGCGCCGCCACTGGGGCCTTCGGTGCAGCTCTCTATGGGGCCACGAAACGTGTGAGGGGTGTGCCGAATTGAGTGCGGGTGGTGACGCATGCGGGCGGTGCCACTGGGGCCTTCGGTGGAGTTCCCTATGGGGCCACGAAACCTGTTGTTGTGAGGGGCGTGCCGGGATGGGTGGCGGGGACGCATGTGAGCGCGGCCGCTGGGGCCTTCGGTGGATGATGGGACCACGAAACCGGTGAGGGATGTGCCGAAATGGGTGTGCGGGACGCATGCGCATGTGAGCGCCGCCACTGGGGCCTTCGGTGGAGCTCCCTATGGGGCCACGAAGCGTGTGAGGGGTGTGCCGAATTGGGTGTGCGTGACGCATGCGGGCGGCAGCACTGGGGCCTTCGGTGGGGCTCCCTATGGGGCCACGAAACGTGTGAGGGCTGTGCCGAATTGGGTGTGCGGGACGCATGCGGGCGGCAGCACTGGGGCCTTCGGTGGGGCTCCCTATGGGGCCACGAAACGTGTGAGGGGTGTGCCGAATTGGGTGTGCGGGACGCATGCGGGCGGCAGCACTGGGGCCTTCGGCGGGGCTCCCTATGGGGCCACGAAACGTGTGAGGGGTGTGCCGAATTGGGTGTGCGTGACGCATGCGGGCGGCAGCACTGGGGCCTTCTGTGGGGCTCCCTATGGGGCCACGAAACGTGTGAGGGGTGTGCCGAATTGGGTGTGCGGGACGCATGAGGGCGGCAGCACTGGGGCCTTCGGTGGGGCTCCCTATGGGGCCACGAAACGTGTGAGGGGTGTGCCGAATTGGGTGTGCGGGACGCATGCGGGCGGCAGCCCTGGGGCCTTCGGTGGAGCTCCCTATGGGGCCACGAAACGTGTGAGGGGTGTGCCGAATTGGGTATGCGTGACGCATGCGGGCGGCAGCGCTGGGGCCTTCGGTGGAGCTCCCGATGGGGCCACGAAGCGTGTGAGGGGTGTGCCGAATTGGGTGTGCGTGACGCATGCAGGCGGCAGCAACTGGGGCCCTTCGGGTGGGGTTCCCTATGTGCCACGAAACGTGTGAGGGTCTGCCGTATTGTGTGTGCGGGACGCATGCGGGCGGCAGGCACTGGGGCCTTCGGTGGAGTTCCCTATGGGGCCCGAAACGTTGGAGGGTGTGCATAATTGGGTGTGCGGGACGCATGGCGGGCGGTGCCGCACTGGGGCCTTCGTTTGGCTCCCTATGGGGCCGCGAAACGTGGTGAGGGGTGTGCCGAAACTGTGTGTGCGGGACGCATGCTGGCGCAGCACATGGGTCCTGGTCGTTGGGTTCCCTATGGGCCACGCAACGTGTGAGGGTGTGTGCCCGAATGGTTTGGGCGGGTACGCATGCGGTCGCGGCAGCGACTTGGGGTCCTTCGGGTGGGGGTTCCCTATGGGGCCACGAAACGTGTGAGGGGTGTCCGGAATTGGGCGTGCGGGACGCATGCGGGCGGCAGCACTGGGGCCTTCGGTGGGGCTCCCTATGGGGCCACGAAGCGTGTGAGGGGTGTGCCGAATTGGGTGTGCGGGACGCATGCGGCGGCAGCACTGGGGCCTTCGGTGGAGCTCCCTATGGGTCCACGAAACGAGTGAGGGGTGTGCCGAATTGGGTGTGCGGGACGCATGCGGGCGGCACCATGGGGCCTTCGGTGACTGGGGCGGGTGAGCGCAGGGAAGAGGGGGAGGAGGAGAGGAGGAGGAGGAGGAGGAGGAGGAGAGGAGGAAGCGGGGACCGTCTCTTCAAAACGAGGACCCAACACCACAGGAGGTTGGGAAAAAATTAGCCTGGCGAAGAACCCAACCATATGCAGTTGTCAGTACCGCAGCTGCGGGTTTCATCTTCAATGGAACTCCCCATAGGACTACGGAACGTGTGAGGGGTGTGCCGAGATGGGTGCCACTGGGGCATTCGGCGAAGCTCCCTATGGGGACATGAAACACGCGCGGGGCGTGCCGACATGGGTGGCGGAAACGCATGTGCGGGCCGCCACTGGGGCCTCCAGTGGAGCTCCCTATGGGTCCCCGAAACATGATGCTGCTGCGGGGGGGGGGCCGGGATGGGTGGCGGAGACGCATGTAAGCGCCGCTACTGGGGCCTTCGGTGGAGCTCCCTATGGGGCCACGAAGCGCGTGAGGGGTGTACTGGGATGTGTGGCGGGGACGCATGTGAGCGCCGCCACTGGGGCCTTCGGTGCAGCTCTCTATGGGGCCACGAAACGTGTGAGGGGTGTGCCGAATTGGGTGCGGGTGGTGACGGATGCAGGCGGTGCCACTGGGGCCTTCGGTGGAGCTCCCTATGGGGCCACGAAACCTGTTGTTGTGAGGGGCGTGCTGGGATGGGCGGCGGGGACGCATGTGAGCGCCGCCGCTGGAGCCTTCGGTGGAGCTCCCTATGGGGCCACGAAACGTGTGAGGGGTGTGCCGAATTGGGTGGGTGTGGGTGACGCATGTGAGCGCCGCCACTGGGGCCTTCGGTGGAGCTCCATATGGGGCCACGAAACGTGTGAGGGGTGTGCCGAATTGGGTGTGCGTGACGCATGCGGGCGGCAGCACTGGGGCCTTCGGTGGGGCTCCCTATGGGGCCACGAAACGTGTGAGGGGTGTGCCGAATTGGGTGTGCGTGACGCATGCGGGCGGCAGCACTGGGGCCTTCGGTGGGGCTCCCTATGGGGCCACGAAACGTGTGAGGGGTGTGCCGAATTGGGTGTGCGGGACGCATGCGGGCGGCAGCACTGGGGCCTTCGGTGGAGCTCCCTATGGGGCCACGAAACGTGTGAGGGGTGTGCCGAATTGGGCGTGCGGGACGCATGCGGGCGGCAGCACTGGGGCCTTCGGTGGGGCTCCCTATGGGGCCACGAAACGTGTGAGGGGTGTGCCGAATTGGGTGTGGGGACGCATGCGGGCGGCAGCACTGGGGCCTTCGGCGGGGCTCCTATGGGGCCACGAAACGTGTGAGGGGTGTGCCGAATTTGGGTGTGGGTGACGCATGCGGGCGGCAGCACTGGGGCCTTCGGTGGGGCTCCCTATGGGGCCACGAAACGTGTGAGGGGTGTGCCGATTGGGTGTGCGGGACGCATGCGGGCGGCAGCACTGGGGCCTTCGGTGGGGCTCCCTATGGGGCGTGTAGGGGTGTCCGAATTGGTGTGCGGGAACGCGTGCCGAGGGGTGTGCCGAATGGGGAGCATGCGAACGCAGCCACTGGGGCCTTCGGTGGTGCTCCCTATGGGGCCACGAAACGTGTGAGGGGTGTGCCGAATTGGGTGTGCGGGACGCATGCGGGCGGCAGCACTGGGGCCTTCGGTGGGGCTCCCTATGGGGCCACGAAACGTGTGAGGGGTGTGCCGACTTGGGTGTGCGGGACGCATGCGGGCGGCAGCACTGGGGCCTTCGGTGGGGTTCCCTATGGGGCCACGAAACGTGTGAGGGGTGTGCCGAATTGGGTGTGCACGCATGAGCGCATGCCACGGGCGAATTGCAGCACTTGGGCCTTCGGTGGGGTTCCCTATGGGGCCACGAAACGTGTGAGGGGTGTGCCGAATTGGGTGTGCGGGACGCATGCGTGAGGGGTGTGCCGAATTGGGTGCGCGGGACGCATGCGGGCGGCAGCACTGGGGCCTTCGGCGGAGCTCCTATGGGGCTACGAAACGCTGTACTGGGCGGGTGAAGCGCAGGGAAGAGGGGGAGGAGGGAGGCGGAGGAGGAGGAAGGAGGAAGGAAGGAGACGCGGGGCACCGTCTCTTCAAAACGAGGACCCAACACCACAGGATGGTTGGGAACTAGAACGCAGACGGATCAGGACTACGGATTTATCAGAGGACGAAAACGAGAAGGAGCAATTCTCACGATGGCTATAGTGGAATATCGAGCCAGACAAGCAGGCTGGAACTTCGCTTCCTCGATGAAGGACATGTCCAACGCTTTCGCGAGCTGCTCGTGGCACGAGATGGATGAAGCCAACCGCAAGATCATGCCAGACGACATGGAAGAGATAGGCAAACAAAGATATCAGAGAGCGACGTTCAACATACCATGCCGAGACGAACAACACGTAGTCTGCATCAAACCGCACTGCGGAGGCTTAATCGGCGACCCCTACATGGTGCAGAACTTCGTCGCCAGCTTTGCGCCTAGTGTACAACAATGGGTACGAGACTGCAAGGCTCAACTCCCACATGATCATCTTCTGTATGGGAACAGGGAGCTTTTCCAGTATCCAGTATACCTCGGCCTCACGAAGTACGCAGATGACTTACGCAAGCTTATCATTACTCAGCGGGCAGACGCGCACGACATCGTGAATCAGGCCCACCAGGTGGACAACATGCTGAACACCAGGCTCACAGAGATCGGGATGTGGCAGAACCAGGACAAGCAGGAGACCATCATCAACTTCCAGGGCCACGGCTCGAAGAAGGCGCACCGTGACATCAAGAACAACACAGGCGCCAAGATGCCCGGTAAAGTACTTCCACACGCCCGTTATCTCGGACCGCAAGTCAGCCCTCACCAGAACTACGGAGCGGAACTCATCAAGCGCATCGCAGCCATGAAGAAGAGTTATAACGAGTGCGGAGCGTTCTGGAGCAAGGCCAACATCCCATACCGTTGGAAGCGAGCAGTACTACTTTGCCGAGTGATCAACACAGGCCTCTCGTGCATCGAGTGCTTCCTCCCGACCACGACAGAGTACAGACAACTCCAGAGTGCGATGGGAGCACTACTACGTAAGGCCATGCGAGGCAGAGCCACGACGTACCGCGACGACGGCACCGTGCGGAGCATGAGCACCTTGGAGGTCTTCCGCCATTGGCAAATATTGCCGCCGGCAGAAGAGGCACTGATACGACGAGTCAGCTGGCTAGAAACTATTCTGCGCTTCCCTGCTAACAACAAACAGCTGATCGTTGCGCTCTTCGGCCGAGTCGACTTCGAGACGAACACGGAAACGACCACCGACGCGATCCAGAGCGACACGAATCCATGGGCTCAGAGGTTTCTGGAGGACATTAAGTATGCCTGCGAGGTCTCAGAGAATTTCCAGGACATCTTAGGGCGGAGCGAGGACATAACGATAGGCAAGCTCTGCACGCTAGATATCCGAGAACAACTTTGGAGCCTGGACCCCAAGGAAATACGAGCAGCCAAACTAGCAGTAGCGGTACCCCCAGTACAGCAAGATCACGACGACGAACACCGAGAGAACATAGCCTTAGACGAGAAAAAGATTTGGAAATGCGAACTTCTCGACGAACGAGACGTATGTGGAATGTTATTTGCAGGCAAGAAAGCGTTACACAGCCAAATCATACGAGCACACCATGTTCATAACTTAGCGGCAATTCTTACCAGCAACAACGAGTGCATCAATTGTGGGCAGGTATTCACCAGCAAAGGAACGACCTGGAAACACCTAGCACGAAGTATGATTCGAGGGGGCTGCAGCCGAGACACGACGAAGAACCAGTACGAAGCGGCCCCACACGAACCTCAATGTCCGATCTGTAGTCATTTTGCCTTAGATAAGCATAGCTGCTACCGCCACCTTTGCACACACCTTCCTCGACAACTACTTCAGCCAGCAAAGGATGTCTCTTTTCGACCAGAGGCCGAATGGCGGACAGCCGCTACGCGCACAGGGAGCTCGCCCAGACCGCAGCCGTGGACGCGGAGGGGCGGGACAACAGCGCGGCCCAGCGGGACCAGCAGCGGGCCAGCAGCAGCAGATGGTCGACCTGACGGCGAGGCTCGCGCTCACCCTCGCACGGGAACAAGCAGAACTGGCCCCCGCAGTACTTCAGACGTGGGAGATCGGAACGGAAGCCAATATCGCTACATCGGGACTCGAAGCAGGGCGCGCCTACAACGAGGAGGCTCAGGACCTGAACCAGCGCGCCAAGGCCGGCGAGGCAGTCGACACGGCGCAGCTTGGAAGCCCGCACCTGAAGGTCTGGACGGAGGTCTGCGCCTACCTGGGCAAGACGCTCGAGGAAGGGGCTTCCAAGCAGCACGTCGAGCAGTACTACCGCGACAAAGTACTCAACGCCGCTCCAGAAGCGCTCGGAGATTCAGTACCAGTATTTCGCGTTCGGCGCAACAAAGGCAAGGATGGCAACGGGAAAGACAAGTGCAGGTTCCAGTTCACTTTCAACGCGAACGATCACCAGATTGCGACAGTGCTAGTCAACCAGCTCAAGAAGGAGGGAGCCACGCGCCGCGTGGGCTCGGCGCCGCGCGGGGCGCTGGAGCGGGAACTCGGGCGCCTGGTCAACGGCTGACCGCCGAACGACACGCAAAGGACGCCAGAGAAGAGCATGCCGTAGGCTTACGCCAAATCCAGAGTGAGGGAACGCCCCGCGCCGTGCCCAGAGCGTTCGAAAATAGTGTACGATTCCGAG